GTTAAATGTTTGGTAAACAAAAAATGGCTTTTCATTCGTTTAAAATAAAACAATAATAGAAAAAATAAATGTTAAATATATTTAATAAATGATATTTAAGTGGTTTATAAATTTTAAAATAGTATACACATTTTGTGAGACAATCAAATTTAATAATATCATACACTTTATTGCGGTCAAATTTAAGAAATTAATATTATATATTAGGTTAAATTATACGCTTAGTACCTAAACTATTATTTATATGTATCTTGTGTATTTTCGTTCTCTATTTCACTCTCGTTCATATCTGAATTTTTTTTGTTGAATTTGTAGTTTCTTTTTGATATCTCATTTTCATAGATCTAATTTTCATGTATCTAGATCCAGCTGAATTTCACCTTGTTTCGATTGATTTCTATTTTTTGAATTCGTAATTGTTCTGAAAATTTCATTTTTCAACTAAACCATTTTAGAAGCATGATTCTAGGGAGTTACTTTTCCTTCCTATTTTCTTCCCCTCTTCTTACCTTGACTACCGTAGAGCTCTTCATCTTCACAATCATTATTTTCTTTCTCGCCTCCACTAGCTTTCTCATCAATCTTCGGTTCAAATTTTGAACATGTATTAGCATTCCCCTCGTTGTTCGGTTCAATTTCGGGAGATTTTGTTCGAAAACAAAGTTGACTGGACCAATCTCTGACTGACTCTACTCCGTTCCCGTTGATCGGTGTCGTTGACCATCAGTCTGGAGCCGAACTCAACCGCCAAATCCAGTTGATAAATCTTTGTCCCTGCAATAACTGTGTATCTCCTTTTTGTGCCTTTTGCTTTTTGCTTTTTGCATGTGAACGTTACCAGCAACCAGATTCCATCAGCAATCTCTACCGTCGACCTCAACAGCGCCCTCAACAATCCCGCCGTAAAATAGCAACTACTTCGTACTTGCCGGCCAGGTACATATAGTGGTCGGCCAGGTATTTAAACGTGCTATGCTACTTTTACAACTATTCTGATCGCATGTGTTGCATGTTATTCCGCTTTCTGGGTTTTTTCTTGGTTGATTCGGCCTGGTATTTGAATTCGCCGGTGAGCAAAGCATCCTAACTGTAATCTAGTTTTGATTCTGTAGTACCCCTCAATTCTCTAGCATTGTTTTTGCGCATCTTCTGTCTTATTTGGATTCTTTTTTCATAGTTCCTCATAGCTACGACTATAGATAATTACTTGAGGTCATGTCTTTCTTTTAGAGCCCATAGGGCGTATAGGGGGAGGGCTTGACAGAGTGGTGTCAAGGAGACTAGACTTAAAGTTTGTACGTTGAATGTAGGTACATTGAATGCTAGGTTGCTGGAGCTGACCGACGTACTAAGTAATAGGAAAATAGATTTTGTATGTATTCAAGAGACTAGGTGGAAAGATTCTCGCGCCAGAGAGTGTAATGGGTACAAGTTGTGGTATTTAGGCGTAGATAACGCTAGAAATGGGGTGGGTATCTTGGTATCCTCTCGGCACAAGGAAAATGTAGTTGAAGTTTGTAGATACCGTAATAGGATCATGATGATTAAGGTTATTATAGAAGCGGAAGTGGTGAATGTCCTTTCAGTGTACACCACACGTTGGCCTAGGGGATGGGGAGAAACATTACTTCTTGGATTCGTTAGATGATGTACTTAGGAGCATTCTGGAGGACCAAAGAGTTTTCATAGGGGGAGACTTTAATGGCCATATAGGTAGTGTAATTGACGGGTATGACGGTGTTCATGGGGGTTTCGGTTTTGGAAGTAGGAACGAGGAGGGGCATACGTTGCTTGAATTTGCTACTGCACACGATATGGTGGTCACTAACACCTTCTTTAACAAGAGATATATGAACTTGATTACGTTCCATAGAGGGGGACATTGTACCCAAATCGACTACATCCTGGTTCGAAATCAGGATCGGTGGGCTTGCATTGACTATAAGGTGTTCCCTAAAGAGGCATGTGTATCACAACACAGATTGTTGGTGTTGGTGCTCCGAGTACGCCTTGAGCGGAGCACTCATAGGAAAGGCTAACCTTGGTAAACCTAGGATCATTTGGAAGAACTTACATGGAACGACATATGGTAACTTTAGGAGTAAGGTTTTGGAACTACAAACTCAAATAATGCAGATATGTTATTGAGAAATAAGGCAAATTCCATCAGAGAGGTGGGTAAAAACACCCTTGGGTTGTTGACAGGGAAGGTCAAGGAACATAAATAATCGTGGTAGTGGAACAATGAAGTCCAAACTAAGGTGAAGACAAAACAAACTTACTTCAAGGAGTTTCTACAATGCAATGACGATGAAGAAAGATCGAGAGCTAAACAAAGATACAAGGAGGCAAAACGGGAAGCCAAAAAAATAGTGGCTAAAGCAAAAGATAGGGCATACGAGGAAATGTACAAGAGATTAGACACCAAGGAAGGAAGAAACGACATCTTCAGGCTTGCAAAATCCAGGGAGAATAGGAAAAATGATATAGGTAACATTAGGTTTATTAAATACAACAATGGTGTTCTTTTAGTGAAAGATCAATATATTAAGAGGGTTGGGTAGTTACTTCTTTGGTTTATTTAATGACGGTGCGTCTCCCTGTAGAGATAGTACCATTGATGTGTCAGCCGACCATCATATTTTGACCAATGACTGCCCTACAAGTAGGATTGGGATTGAGGAAGTCAAAATGGCTCTTAGAAAGATGGGGAGGGACAAAGCTGTCGGTCCAGATCAAATTCCTATCACTGTGTGGTTGGCCCTAGGAGAAGAGGGAGTTAAGTGGTTGACCAACATCTTTGATATTATTTTAGAGACTGCCAAGATGCCAGAGGAGTGGAGAGAGTCTACGGTGATACCAATCTATAAGAATAAAGGAGATCCCCAACGTTGTGGTAACTACAGAGGTATTAAACTACTCAGTCATACCATGAAGCTATGAGAAAGGGTGATAGAGGTTAGGTTGAGACAGGTTACTAGGGTTTCGGAAAACCAATTTGGCTTTATGCCAGGCAGGTCTACTACGGAGGCGATTCATCTACTTCGACGGCTTATGAAGAAATATAAGAAAAAAAAATAGAGATCTTCACATGGTGTTGATTGACCTCGAGAAGGCGTATGATAGTGTCCCCCACGATACGATCTGGAAGACCTTGGAAACGAGACTGATCCCAATTGCATATATCCAGGTGATTCATGATATGTACTGTAGATCTACTACAATCGTCAGGACCACAGTTGGCGACACCGAGGCATTCCAGGTGGAAATCGGACTCCACCAGGGGTCATCTCTTAGCCCTTACATCTTCGCCTTGATTATGGATGACATCTATTGTGCAACTCCAGACTGTGTTCCATGGTGTATGCTTTTCACTGACGATATTGTCCTAGTTGTTGAAACAAAAACCGAGCTGAATAGTAGACTGGCTACCTGGAAGACTGCTTTGGAAGAAAAATGTCTAAGGATCAATATTGAAAAGATAAAGTATTTATGTTCAAACTTCAGTGGGAACCAAAACGTTGAAGATGTAGAAGTATGCATAGAAGGATACATTCTCCCCTCAAAGAACTGTTTCAAGTACCTAGGGTCTATGATACATAAAGATGGGGTGTAGATGATGACGTTACACACCGTATAAAGGCGGGATGACTAAAGTGGAGAACTGCTACTGGAGTTTTGTGTGACAAGAAGGTGGGAAAATTTTATAGAATGACAATAAGACCAACGTTATTGTATGGATCATAATGTTGGTCAATCAAGAAGGATCATGTAAGGAGGATAGAGGCAGCAGAAATAAGAATGCTTCGATGGGCATGTGGTAAGACTCTGTGGGACATGACACCAAACTCTGAAATTAGGATGTCCTTGGGGGTGGTTCCTGTATCCAAAAAATTGAGGGAGGGAAGACTACGGTGGTTTGGGCATGTCCTTAGGCGACAACCGTCGGATGCGGTCAGGAGGGTAGAGTCGATTACAACCGACGGTGCCAGAAGGAGAGGAAGACCAAGGAGGAAGTGGGTAGACTGCTTGAGATATGATTTGAAGGATTTAGCCCTTACCGAGGACATGACCTCTGATAGGAAAGTATAGAGACTTAAGACCAGGGTAGCCGAGTAGTGTGAGTCACAACCATAGGGTATAGCATCTCTGTCTTCTTTTAATGTCGTTGTAGTAATTTCCATGACTTCTACTTTTTATACGTTTCTGTCATTGAAATTTATAAAGGCTTAGAACTAGGATAGCGGAGAGTGTTACCTTAGTTTATGTTTTAACCCATTTGACTATATTCCTTCTTGTAGCTTGCTATCGCTGACTTCTGTGTATTCTTCTCTTCATTTTTCCTCTTTTTAAATTTAGCCGGTGTTACGTTTCTGTCTATATGCAAAGATTTTTACGCAGGGATTTATTTGCAGGGATTACTTCCCATTATAGACGCGCATATGAAAAATGCATATGAAAGATGTTCAACTATTTATTTATTTATTTATTTATTTATACATGCATTGTATTTTATCTTTATTTTTAATTTGCTCACTGCCGTAGGTCTTCTACAGAAGCTGCTCTCAACCTGGCGTTGGGGGCAACCTAATACCATACCTCCCCCTTATCCAATTACATATATGAATAGGGTTTTGTTATTGTTGTGTTATTTTTGTATTATTTTTTAAATAATTTGTTTGGGGATGGCCCCACTAGCCCTTTAGGCGTTCTGCCAGTGGACCATAATAATGCAAGAACCATTTTTTTCCTAGTTGAGTTGTTCTTTGTTTTAGAGAAAAAAATGAATTGGGTGGGACAAAGTCAATGCATTCAGTTAGTTTCCCAAGGGGTCCCCTTAAATTAATAACAAAGATTGGTTACCCATGAAACTCGTAGAAATAGGAACTTTCTATCACCTTTACAAGAAAATTATAAATATTCTCAATAATCCTTCCCCCATTCCATATTACCAATATTTAAATAAAATTATTGGGGGGGTTTTCGATCTTCAATAAAATATGATATACCAAATAGAACCCAATTTTGTTTTATCTTTTCTCATCTTTTCACATGTGTCTCTCTTCCATTTCACCTCAATTTCAGCTCAAGAAGTTGGTAATATGATAAATATATAACTATTTTTTCAATGGAGTTTCATTTATCGTTCATATAAATATATACACGATGAACTAAAAGGGAATGAGTGGGACAAATATCTACAAATTTTCATAAATTTTAAATCTTTTTTTTTATATTTTCTTATTGATAACCTATTTTTAATTTTTAATATAAAATTTTAGGTAATATATGAAAATTGAATGCAGAGAACGAGAGAGAATTTGACTACATAGAGAAGAGTGGGAAAGGACCAAAATTTTGGGGATCTCTTAATAAAGATTGGGCTGCGTGTAATAAAGGACGTTTGCAGTCGCCGATCGATTTGTCAAGTGCTCGAGTGAAGATGATCAGTATATCCGAAGATTTGAAGAGGATGTACAAACCTGCTGAGGCAATCATCAAGAATAGAGGCCATGATATTTTGGTGATGAATAAAATTACATATAAATTATATACTATGCTTTTATATGATTGTTCAGGACAGTAGAATTGTAGTTGACAAAGTGGGGCCTGCAGCTTCAATGGACGGCGAAGACTGCAGGTTCACTCAAATTCAACGGCGCCGAATACTTTCTCAAACAAGTTCATTGGCACTCACCTTCTGAACATGCCATTAATGGAAAAAGGTAACTTCACTCGTTTGTTTCATCTCTCTTTCAAACATTAAAAACACATACCTAAATTCCTAGTTTTTTAAGTATAATGTTGAAATTCACCACTAATATTTGATAAAATAATCATTTTAACGTATGTTCTTTATATATATATATATATATATATATATATTTTTGATCCCAACATTTTATTTTATGATAAAGTATATTTTGATTGGATGAAAATTTATAGTTGTCTAACGGTCAACGTTTGTCACTAACATGTTAAGTCTTATGAGTCCAAAGTGATGATGTGATATGTCTTATGTCATCACTTTAAACATGTTACATGTGTCACATTATCGCTTTGGATACAGAAAACATGTCGCGTCAATAGAACATTGATCATTAGTCAACTAACGATTTATATCCAATCAGGGAGCATTTTGTCCCAAAATGAAACGTTAGGGCCAAAGTATACCAAAAAAATAAGGCTAAAGTGAATATCGAGTCAAACATTAGGAGTAAGTTTATATTATACATTTATATTTGTGTATGTATATGTTTCGTGTAATAATTAGGTTTGCCATGGAGCTACATATGGTGCACCAATGCGAGGACCCTAAAGTGAAGAACAATGTAACTGTTATTGGACAACTCTACCAATTTGGTCCTCCTAATCCTTTCCTCTACAAGGTAAAGGAAAGGACCAATTTCACCAAATGATTATAGAGAAGTATCATATTTTGGATCAAAATATACAAATATGCTTTTATCATTATTATTATTATTATTAGTTTTCAGCTCATATGCAACATTTCAGCAATGAGTGATAAAATCATGCAAAGGCCAATGGGAGTAATAGATCCAAACCAAATCGAATTGAAAGGAAATAAGTTTTATAACTACATTGGTTCGTTGACTGTCCCTCCTTGCACTGAAGGTGTCATTTGGATCATCGATGAAAAGGTATAAAATACTTTAGGGTAAACTATTTATTTGATTACCGTCAATTTTTTAACGACAAGTAGTCAAAACAGAACCAAAACGTAACATTAAATATGATTTTGAAAAAACAAATAATTGGGTGATCAAAACCAAAACTAAGTAATAGGTAAATGACCAAGTAGGTAGTTTACCCATACTTTAATAATAAATAAATAACTAATGGTTAAACTGCCCAAAAGGTCCTTATACAGTAGCTTGGTAGCATCTTAGTCCCATTACTATAAAATTATGTAGTTTAGTCCTGGTATGTTTAATTTATTGTATGAATCTGAGATCCTAAAACAATTTTGAATTATATTATCCAGATACCATCTGTTTCAAGGGAACAGGTTCATGCTATCCGAGAAGCTGTCCATGATGTAAGTATCAATACTTACTAATTTGGTATTTGATCATCAATTAATTATTCAAATGAGAATTTCTCAAGAAAAATATAACCTTTTTGTTGCAATCTAATTTTTTTTTTCAGTATGCAGAAGAAAATGCAAGGCCACTGCAACCACTCAACCAACGAGAGATAGCATTTTTCGATCCCAAACCCAAGTGATGAAAATATAAAGCTTATAATAACAAAGGCAGCCAGGACTTAGGGAAACAATGAGGAATTTGAAAATGAAAAATAATTTAAATAGTCAATATGTTTTGAAAATTATACTACATATGCTATGAAAATTATTATTTGTAGATGATCATGATTGGAAGTATTTTATTATCAAGACTTCTATGTTCATTAAGATTAGATTTTTTTTATGTAAAATGTTTTATATGAATTAATTGTGAGTTATACAAAACGAATACAACCATGAGTCTCATTAAAAAAACCTTTCTACTCTTAAATGAAGTAAAAAGTGTGCACCGTAACTATGTGAGTGCATCCGCTTCCTTGAGCAGTGGAGAGGAAATGTTCCTCCAAATCCAAGAAGACTTTTCTCTATGAACATTTCCCGGAACCAAGGCATCACCATCAAGTTCATATTTCGCTATTATGAATTTCCTCCATAAACAATCGAGTTCAAACCAAAATCTCCACAATCACTTGTTTAGTAGTGACCGATTCTTGATTCTTACATCGAAGAACCCCAGTCCACCGAATGAAAGAAATCGAATTACGAACCAAATCCTATTTTATCTAGTGTATGGTTCGACCCTCCTTGGCTCCCTAAATGAATTTAGCAATACTTTTGTTGAGCTTATCTGCCAGTGTAGAAGGCAACAAGAATATGAAGATATAGTATATTGATAGACTGGAGAGCAGACCACGAAAGAAAGCATTTTTTCCTTCCAACCATCGAGTCAAGACTGGACCTTGTTTACAATGGGCTGCCAAATGTCCTTCGAGTTCCTCTTATAACCCAACGGAAGGCCAAGGTATTTTGTTGGAAATGTGTCCGCTTGAAAATGGATCTCCTCTGCCCACACTTATAGAGACTAATACTCGACATTTATACCATAGAGTTTGGTTTTCATATTAAACAAGCAGCAACCTTGAATACTCTTAAAGTTCGCTTTATATTCCTAACCATCTCTATACTCGCATTGAAAAAATATTATTAGATCATCAAAGAATTGAATATGCGGATGGTTAAGTAACTACGTCCCACCGAAACCCCTTTCATGATTCCCACATCTGAAGCTTTATGCAATAATCCACTCAAAGCTCCCCCAACTATATTAAATAACATTGGGTACAACCAACAACCTTGTTTGAGTCCCCTCTTAATACTAAATCAGTTTAAAGGACATTTATTGACTAAGATTGCAATTGATGGAGTCGAGATACAGAATTTCATCTGGTTCCTTCATTTCTTTTCAAAACCCATTTTCCTAATTACAAGAATCAAAAAACTCCAATCAACACTTTCAGATGCTTCACAGAAATCTGCTTTGAAAATAACGTGTCTTTTTCTTTGCTCTAGGTTGTCAATTATTTCATTCGCTATCAACAAGTAATCCGCAGTTTGTTTCCTTGCGATAAAAGCAAACCGACTCTCGTCGACCACCTCTCCTAAGCACGTTGAAAGAAATGAAGGAACTAGATGAAATTCTGTACCTCGTCAACCAGTACTTGGTGCAGGCTATCCACCAACGAAATGGGTTTAAAATCATCAAAACACTATGGACCTGATTTCTTCGGAATAAGAGCGATAAAGGATTGGTTGATGGCAACTTGCTTTACATTTCCTCTACTGAAATCATCGAAAAAATTCATAATTTCACATTTCAAGTTTGCCAAAATTTTCTGGAGAATTCCAGGTTAAAACAACCGGGCCTGGGCGCTCACGACCCATCAGACCAAAAAATAACTTGCCAAACTTCTTGTTCAGTAGAAGGCTTTCGAGGTCCAATTTTGATGCTCCACCAAGGTTCTTAAGTGGAACATTGCACCTTTTAACCGGAATTGTATTGACATTATTACAACTTCCACAAAAGTATTCTTCAAAAGTTTTCAAAATCTCTTTCTTCCCCGAGATAGTCATATCCCCCACTCTAATTTAGGAAATAAAATTCGATCACCCTCTCATAGCCATAGTTAAATGAAAATATTTGGTGTTTTATCCCCCCCTTAAACCATTTGAGCTTGGATTTTTTTAACCAATCTCGCTCCTCCCTTTTGTACTTCATCCATAGTTTAGCCCTTAGGGATTGGATCTCGGCTAGTACAGTAGTTTTATCACCATGGGATATTAGCGAGCCTTCTAATGTTGCTATCTTTACTTTAATACACTTTTATGGAGTCTGAATCTTTAACACGCTCAGTCCTAAACCAATCCTTTAAAGCAACCATAACTTAATTTAAAAGAAATCCAACATATTCTCCTTTGAACTTGTAGACACTTATTTTTGTATGCTATCTTTATAATATAATATAGTATATAATATACACATTTTGGAAGCTTATTTAAAAAAAAACATATATGGTTTTTAAAACAATTTTTGAAAACATATAGTATATAATTTTTAAAATAATTTTGAAAACGTATAATATAGTTTAAAAAACAGCTTTCAAAACATATAGTTTTTAAAATATATATTTTAAAAAATGTATAATATATAGTTTTTTAAAAAATGGTTTTGAAAATAGTTTTAATATAGTTTTTGAAATTGTATTTGGAAAACATATGATATATGATTTTTTTTAAAATATTTTTGAAAACATATAATATATAGTATAATATATATACATATTATTAATATTAATATTTATTTTTTTTATTCTATTTTATTTTTTATTTTTGGGTCCTATTGTAGGTTCAAATCCAGTCCAAATAAATCGGTCAAGAGTAAAGTCCAAATAAACCGGTCCAGAGTAAAGCCCAACAAAAGTAAGCCTGACCCAGCAAGCCCGATTAGGAGGGCTTGATCCAGTCCAACAAATTAGGGTTTTGGAATTAGCACTGGCGACGCACATGTCACGCGTGGAATCCATACACAGAGCGTGGAAATCAGAAGCCAACAACCGACCGAGATCAGGACTGAACCACCACGAAAATCCCGACCGAACAAACGTTTCGAGATAAAATCAGAACGATTAACCCAACAAAAATACAAACATCATGATACATCACACGAATCCCGTCCCTTTTGGGACTCAAAATATCCAAACCTATGGCTATAAAAGCCACCTGTGAGGCCAGGGAAGGGACATGAGAAAAACCAAGCATTATCGAATAACAAGCATACAATAAACCAAGCAAAAAACAACGAAATTGAACAGTAAACATACATGAAAATCTACTCAAAAAATCGTAAAAAATATAAAGAGAAAGGTTTCATCATTTTTGTTGTCGGAGATAGGCCAGAGGACACCGAGAAAGCAAAGAGACACTACCAAACTAAGGTAAAACCGAAACTCCAAATGTAGATCTACGCCTCTAGGATCCTTTTTAGTACGAGTAGGCTTTGGTTTTGGGTTTATCAGGCTGGGGATAACGTTTTAGGTATGTTCGAAATTTTTAGCCACCGGGGGCGGTGGTCGGAGCGACAGCCATGTGGCAGGGATTCGTCGAAGTGGTGGCCGGCCATCGGGGCCGGTTGAGGAGAGGGGAGAGTGTTTGAAGGTTGAGATAGTTTTTTTGGAATGGGTTTAAAATGATATTTTATAACCAAGGGACTAGGTTGTAATTAGCAAATATTTAAATTATTTTCGCAGTCCTTGTACTTTTGATGTGTAATTCATTTTGGTCACTTATCACAATTTTGCCTCTGCATTTTCAATTAATTAAATTTAATCCCTATTTATAATTTATATTTTTGCAATTTAACCCCTCTAACTCTTTATTTTTCCTTTCAGCACATCTTTAGCATTAATTTGGTCCCTCAATTTTAATTTGTTTTAATTTAATCCTTTAAATTTTTGTTTTTTTATTATTTTTTCCTTACTTTGAAAAAAAAATCTTAATATGTTCCTTTGTTTTAACATTTTTTAAAACATTTTTTTCTTTTTTTTAAAAAATTTGTAAATTATTTATACATTTAATTTCACAATCTAATATATATATATATTTATTTTTTTCAGGGGTAATTCTAATCGATCAAAGGTAAATTGTTCGAATCGAATTTTTAAATTTCAATTTAACTTTTATTTTTTGCAATTAAGACAACCAAGAAATTAAATTAGTACCGAAAAGGTGGTACAAGGGTGCTAATCCTTCCTTGATTGTAATCGACTCCTGAATCTGACATATTTATGGTAAAACACAGATCAGGTAAGATGATAAATTGAGGTGTCCGATCAACCTAATTTTTTATTTTAAAAAATAAATGATCGGTGGAGGCTTTAACACCAATTCCGGACCCACCCGAAAGACATTTATGATAGCTTGACGATTCTATTGGAGACTGGTAAGTGAGTCAGGCTAAAATTAATTTCCGGTTGTCTTCTTAAGTGAAAATTATAAGTTTAAATTTTAATTTATTTATTCGATCGGGTCTACACCAAGTTCATCAAAAGTCAGCCTTTCAAGAATGGGTTGGCAAAGGTTACAGGAGTAGATAAAAAGTTGGTAACTGACTGGATCCAACACAAGGGTAAAGGAGAGGAAATTGCTTGACCCATATCAAGAAATTGATGAAGAATCATCTTGATGAATGTAAGTTGATTGATCTCTTCGCATTGGGTATTTACGACTTAGTTATTTTCCCAAGAACTTTAGGATACATTGAGGCGCTGTGGTGGAACTGTTCGAACAACTTCTGAAGCGAGTGGACCCGACACTTGTAAAATTTAACTGAAAGTTTTTCATTCACCCAACCATTGCAAAAAGACTAGCGGAGGAAGATTTATAGGGTGCACACAACTTCTTCAGGTCTGGATCCATAGTCAGTTCTGGAAGACTGACGGGATTTCTTATTGCCGATTCAACACCACTTACTCTCCTTTAGGGGAATTCCTTACACTGAAATGGCAAGAAGGCATCACAAAAGAAAAATGTAAAAAGGTATTCACGCACCTTCAAGATAAGGACATTGCTTGGAGAGCCCCTTGGTTGACCCATAGTGATATCCTTTGTCGGTGTGAAGACTCAGAAACCATAATGTTACTTGGAT